CGGAGAAGTTGGGTGTGGGAAATAGTTGATAGTCAACGGCAACAAAGAGAAAAGCAAATTTTGGCAGCTGTTGCGGGACGCGCTTAAAAATAGCAACAAATATGCGAGACAGCAGCGCGGGCGAAATTTCGCAAAAAAACAAGACCCACACATACGAAATAAATTAAAATAAAATTACTTATGCGATAGAAAAGTGTTGCTTGTCGCTTTTGCGAAAAAGAAAACTTAAGATATCTATAAAAAAAATAAATAAATAAAAAAAAATAGAAAAGTCGAAGGCGGCGAGTTATAAAACAAAAGATACATTTGTATCTAGCATATAGACAAATGGAAGAGTGAAGAGGCATCTATTTAAAGATTGACTGCCAGGCGACATTTTCACGTTGTTGGGCCAGTCACGCACCCAAAACGAAAATGTATCTAGGCGAGCGTCTGTGTTTCTTGTAGTTATGCCACGAATGTGTGTTTCGATTTGACAAGTTTTCTCTAAACCAAATGCTGTATGTCTTCTTTGCTACGAACGCGCGCGCTCAAAGCAGCTTGTTCCGCCTCTCACCCATACTCTCTCTATCTCTCTCTCTGTCTCGCTCTGTGTGTCTTTGACCATCTCACTATCTCTGCATCTCTCATATATTACATATTGTACATTTATTGAAATGAGCACACAATGCGCGAATACAAAGCGCCGGGCAGCACAGCGCGGCGCACCGAAACGTGCTCGGTACAAACTAGTCTATAATTTTAAAAATAAACTCTACGCAAATTATGAAATATCCAAATTCTGCTTCTTTCTACTCTCTACACAAATTTCGAAAAGAAATTAGAACATTTAGAAATTTTTCAGATATGGTGTAAAGACGAATTCGTGCTTCTACAAACAAATTTTTAATACTCTGAATGGTTGCCAATTAGAGCGAATCGGATCCGGATCCAGAACTAATTCGCATGAGCTAAGCAATGTGTAAACATGGAATGTTCTAATTTGCTAATGAACAAATTTAAAGATCTACTAAGAATATAATATGCATATAAATACTATTCTATTTCTTTTAATTTAAGCCTTTTAGAGCAATGCAAAATAAATATTAATACGGATGTATGTAAAGACTTCTATAGAGCTTTAAAGAGTTAGTATATAAATTTAGAAGTATTTTAAAAATATGTAAATATGTATTTATAATATTATATCTTTTATAAAAATTAAAAATGATCTATAAATATTAATATATTAATAAGCTCATGCTCCCATGTTATTACTGTGCTGTAGTTAATACGAATGTTTAATCTGATCGAATTGCATTCCAGGAAATAGTTAGAAATTGTAAATAGAATGCTCTGCTGCTTAGGTTTAAAAATACACTCAAAACTTGCAATACGACATTTAGAAAAGGCCCCTAAGAATTTCGTTCAAGTTTAATGACCAACACGAGCGCTTCGCGCTGCTCATCCTCATCCCAAAGAGCAGACAGCATAGAAAATACCAACGAACTTTTAGAAATTCAACAGTAAATGCCAAGACACACACACACACACACATGCACACCTGCACACAGAGTCAAAGAGACATATTGGAAGAGTGTAAGCGAGATGGCAGCAAATCAATACAGCGAAACTATTAAGGCGAGCGAAAGAAAGAAAGAGCATCATCATTCAGAGCTTAGATTACAGCATTTTCTAGCCGCTGTGGAATGCTGCTTTAGCAGTGGCCGAAAACTTGTTTACAAGACATCGCGACGTGCCAGCAGCGAGTGGGTCAAAATGCAGCTCTTTTACACTCTCTCACATGCATAGGCGTAAGTGTAAGTGCGCGTGTATGTGTGTGTGTGTGTGTATTGACATTCACATTAAAGCTGAGCAGCCGCTCCTGGACCAATGCTTGAGCGCCAAACTTTCACTTGTGCACGCAGCGGCGGCATAGATGAAACAAGAGAAGCATAAAACAAGAGTCAGAGAGACGAAGACGACGGACATTGAGCGATGAAAATCAATGTACCCAGAAACTTGATCGCCCAAAAGAAACAGAAATCAACAACAGCAGAGAAATGCTTCCTATTGCAGCGCCCTAGCGACAGGTGGCGTTGGAGCATCTTCTGTGACAGCTTTTACAACACTCATAAAGCTGGTAGATGTGAAGTTGTTTGTACTTTCTTTTGCCCAACTATTTGTATGTGTGTGTGGTGTGTTATGTTAGCTGGAATCAATGAAATTTATAGAGCTTCTAATTGTACACAGTCGGCTGCTCCATTGGAAATAGGACAGGGACACGGCCCCCAAACAACGTTTTACAGATGGGCGTTGCGGGGGGCGGCGGGCGGTGCAATACACGCCCTAGAAAATGTCACCGATTGCTTGGCCCAATTACTGCACCCATACGAACACATATTCCAGCATACGTATTTATGGCACTCTTAACTTACCTTCTCCTTGGCACGTCCAGCGTGTTTTTGCATAGATTTAGCAAGCATGATGCCTTTATTTTCGGACATTCAATCAGCAGCAACGGTAACAACAATAACAAATAGATTCAACCGAAGAAGCAGCACAGATTGTGAGTGTGTGTGTTTCAGTGAGTGTGAGTGTGTATATATGATATTCGTATATGCACTGCTGGTGTTCAGAAATATTCAAAAATTTCTGATTTGGCACAATATACACTGTGTGAGGAACAGAAGAACTCTTCGTTTTTCAGTTATCCGCTTTCGGGGAAATTTTAAATGCACATTTAACACACGACAACGGGCCACAATTTGTATTTATTGAACGTTGCTATTTTGATGCGATTTGGCCGCGTTAGTAGCACTCGAAAGTCACGAAATAATGGCACGTAAGCGCGCGGCTGCGACTTCAGGTGTGTCTTCGAACTTGACGCTGCTGCAGACGGAACGGGACTCATTTATTTATTTATAATTTATAATGTTTACACTCAAGCAACGTCGATAGCTGCGATATCGATACTTCACATTGTATATCACCGCGCCACCACACTGGTCGGCTGTTAAATTTAACAGTTGAGGAGCGATGTTGTCATCGATAGTTGGAATGCTAGACAGCCCACCACCACTTTAAGTGCTGCATAACAGACAAAAATGTGCGAGCGACTTTTGCCCAGGTAAACAGAGCTATATTTTTATTTTTTCCTTTTTCGCAAATTAATATTGTTATGTCGCAGGCACTCGGCTTCGACAGGCGGCTGGCTAAGTTTGTTGTTGCCCGCCGCTCTAGTCACCAGTTATTTGCACGCACAGCCGGAATGCGGCGCCACGGACGCAGTGCATCAGCTTCTGATTGCGGCCGCAATTGGAATGTGCCTCAGGACATTTACGTTTCTTCTCACCTCTCACCTTAAGGCGGCAACCTCTATAAAGTTTATATTGAACCACCTGTTGCCAGGCGTTGTGAGCAGTCTATGTGTGAACAGAAGCTGGCCCTTTGCTCTACCCATTGGACTCCTTATTACCACCATTTATCACTTTGTGTATGTGAGAGTATTCCGTGGTCTGCCCAGGACATTTACCTTCGGGGAAGCGGCCATTATGGTGCAGGGCATTTTGCTCTTCGTCCTGAATGCCATATGTCGCCTTTGGACGCTGCCCTCGACAGATTTCAATCAGCTAAATGCCATAATGACAAGTGCTCTGCTCTGTCTGCTCCTCGTCTGTGTGGCGCTGCACTTGGTGAGATTTCTGCGCAAGCCGCTGCCCTTCTACATGCTGATGGTCCTGCTGCTCCTGGCTGTGACCTGTGCGCCAGTGACACGACCTCTTCCTCTGATTGCGCTGCTGGAATTCCTATTCAAGGATCCACTGCGAGTGAGTCAAACTTGTCTAGAGGACAGTAGATAAAAGTGTTATTTATTTGTTTCTCTCTGTCTCTCTCTCACATAGCTTCTCATCATTCTGAGTGATCTGCTGCTCGTCGGCCTCACCTGCGGCGCCGTTAGCTGGCAGCTGAGGAGCTCCACTCGGGCGAGCACACGCGTCCGAAAGGTCTTCCATCTGCTTATCCTGCTGGTCTTTGTGCCCGGCCTGATCTATCAGTGCGCTCTACTCTACCTGGCCACGGGCGTTGCCCTGGCGATATTTGTGGTGATGGAGCTGCTGCGGTTGCTGCAGATGCCGCCGTTTGCTGCGACGCTGACGCAAGCCTTCGACTCCTTCAAGGATGAGAAGGACGCAGGAGGCCTAGCGCTGACGCCCTTCTGCCTGCTTATTGGCTGCGCTCTGCCCCTTTGGCTGACGCCCTGTCCCTGTCTGCGGGCCGGCAAGGACAGTCCGCTGTTGCTTCTCCTCTCCGGCATCCTGACCGTGGGCGTGGGAGACACAGCTGCCAGTGTGCTGGGCTCCAAATATGGACGCAACAAATGGAGCAGTGCGTATATCACATATTTATATTAAAAATCCCTTTCTAATCGGATTTCGTTGCAGACTCTAATCGTTCCCTGGAGGGCACCGTCGCCTTTGTGCTGTCGATCCTGCTGACCGTCGGGCTGCTGCAACTGGGTGGCGTCCTCGTCATGACCCAAGCGAAATGGTTCGCCACTATTTTTGCCACACTTAATACAGCTCTAGTTGAGGCATTTACCGACCAGGTGGACAATCTAGTGCTGCCATTGATATTTTATATAATTGTTGGCCTAGCCTAAGTCTGAAAGTGTGATATTTACTTAATTGTATGAATTGTATACATTCCAGCGCAGCCAAAGAAATTCGAACAATATTTTTAAAAAATACATTTTTAAAGCTATGCAGCCCTGGTTCAACTCAACGCTCACAATGAACTGTTATCCAACAGCAAATGCTGTCAGAGAGCACTGTTACTCTTATAATGATCTCACCTTCGATCACTGTTAAATTAAATATCGTAATTAGCAGTGCTGACTTTTGGCGCTTTACAGTACTGAAACTAACATTGCAGCTCTTATAATGAGAGAGCACTTATGCTCTGTTAAAAGCGAGAGCAACATTAGTAGAAGACTGTAGTCAAATGAGCGCCTCATTTAAATTTGAATTTAGATTTTTTATTAAATGCATTATTTTCAAGCGCTTACAACATAAACATTAAGATTACAAACAGATTTTGTGTATATGTATAAATATATATAAGTATGTATATATTGTGGTAAATTGTACAATTATTACGAACAGCGCAATTTTGAATATAATTATTTATTTATATGGGGTATATATAATATTTATATATATATAGGATTATGCCTGAGCATGTCTCTAGTCCTGAACTTGATGTATCACATTTTAGATCGGATCCCGCAATTCTCGAGCTCCGTTTTACAGCAGTTATCTTTACAACTAACAATATATACATATATGTATAAGGATAGATACAAAAAATATTAGATATACATATCTAGAAAATTATATATAAAGTAAAGGAACATTGCAGCATTTCGCTTGGATTTGTGGGCCATGATATACCCTTCATAGTGGCTCCTTCTTGAAGTAGGCGTGGTTCAAGCACTCCAACGCAGAGGGACGCTGATGCAGATCATACGCAAGCATTTGCTAAGGCAGAATTGAGAGATTTTCGTCAATATATAACTAAATGTATGGACGCAAGTGCTTACATTCAACAAATCATCAGCGAATTCGCATAGGCCCGGACAAAAGTCTGAGGGTCGCTTGCGAGCGCGATCTGGAAAATGTTCCCTGGAAATGGAGATGCTCTTTGGCCACTGCTGCTCCGTCGGACGGCCAGTCAGTCTGCAATAAAAACAGAGATACAAATAATAAGCAAGTGAGATGGCATTCAACTCAGGGCAAAACCCACTGGAAGATGTGATCCAGCTGATCCTTCTCAGAGTTGCCCGGGAAGAGCGGCTTACGCTTGATCATCTCAAAGATAATGCAAGCTGCGCTCCAGATGTCGACGGTGCTGTTATAGCCCTGGGCGAGCAGCACCTCAGGCGCCCTGTACCATAGGGTGACCACAACGGAGGTGAGTTTCATGTCCGCGCCGTACGTCTTGGCCAGGCCGAAGTCGGCTATTTTCAAATGGCCCTGCGACGAGACGAGCAGATTTTGGGGCTTCAAATCGCGATGAATTATCCGATGGGCATGCAGAAAGTCCACTCCGGTTAATAGCTCTCGAGCCAAACGCTGAAATCGATATGCATTTACAATAATTTTCAAATATATCTCTAGTAATAAGGCAAAATATAGTCTACCTGTACGTTTAGGGGCGACATGCCGCATGGAGGCAAGGCTTCAATCAAGTCGGATAGATCCTGTTCCAAGTGCTCAAAAATAAGCAGAATCAACAATTTGCCATCACGTTCCAAGAACTGGCATACTTCGAACAGTCTGTCGAATGGGGAGCAAATTATAGCATGTCAATGTGTGCATTTGTAGAGTGTAGAGCGGGGAAATTTTAAATGTGAAATGTATGTGTGTGTTGGAGAATTTTTCAGTTGAGTAGATCTGAGCTGTGTTGGGGAGACGGCCTGGTGTGCAACACGCCATTAGCATGCTGCGGGCATTTGGTGTACTACAAAAATACTCCACTCATATACTTTATAAAAAAAAACTCTACAGTTTTCGATCAAGAGCACGATCAAGAGTGCATAACAGCACCGCCCCAGGTTTAACATGGAGAATCTCTTGCTAACATTCTGTTAGCCAACGTTTTGCAGCGCTGTTAATTTGAACGCAAAATTTCTATACGTTTACTTAGAAATTTACCAATTTTAAAAAATATTATTTTTTAGGTAAAATATTTTTGATTTTTAAATATTTTCTTTTTAAAATTTGGGCTCTACTAATAAAATTTCTATGTATCTATTTATTTACTTTTAATTCTTTAGTTACGATTTTGAGCTCTGCACACAAGAAATGAATAAATCGCTTAATCTATTCAAAGAGCAGCAGTGCTCTCTGCTGTCTGCGCTCTTTGGCACTAACAGCCATTTATGCCGCTGTTAAATAAATCATAACATTTCTCTCCACTCAATTGCTCTTGATCGTAATACCGTAGATGAGAGTTGAGCGGTACAACCAGGTACACTGAGCTGGTTGAGCGACATTTTTTAGTACTGAGCGAGTTTGAGTATTATTTGTGTATGTGTAGTACCCGACGCTAGTGTGATGCGTACTAAAAGAGTATTTCGCGCAACATGTGTGTCAACATGTTAAGTTTACTTGTAAACAAAGTTGCCTCTTTGGCTGGCTAAATTGCTTTCCACTGCAATTTGCCAAGGCAATAGATTAGCTGGGGCTTCTGCGACTGTTGCCGTTGCTAATGTTGTTGCAAATAACATTTGCGACGTTGTTATCAGCGTCCCAGGGCAAGCAGGCGCCGCGTTGTTTGACGTTTGCTGTATTAACATGCACATGCCACTGTGCCAATGGGTGTTTGTGGGAGTGTGAGTGCATGCACTTGTATTGGGGGTGGAATGCACCTCTGCGGCTGTGACCGTTACAGTTTCGCTTAGCGACTGCTGTAGGTCAGTTGAAGAGAAGCAGAGAAGCAGGCAGTAAAGCAGAAAGACAAACACAAGAAAGCTGCTAATAACCATAGAGCTCCATTTGCGTGTACGAAATCAAACACACTCAAGCACACACACAGCCATTGCCATTGTCATTGTCCGTAATCTGTTCGCAGCGCGCAACGTAACGACTTTTTTTTAAATTAGTGAACAAATAGTGGGCGCCACCCAGATAACACACTCACATAAGTATGTGTATGCAGTTACTCACTTGACAATGTTCGCATGATCGTATGTGTTTAGCTGCTTGAGCAGTGAAATCTCTCGCAGCGTCGATGCACTCACTCCGTTTTCCGTGAGTGTGATGCGCACCTTCTTGATGGCCACGAATTTGCCTGTTAGATTGTCGCGTGCCCGATAAACGGTGCCATATGCGCCTGTAAAGATAATGTGAATGTTAATGTTAATGTTAATGTGCTCATGTATAGGCGCAAATCAATTGTGTGCTAACAGTAAATAGGTCACACACACGCCTCCGCCTCACATGCACTAGCTCAGCCTTCTTTCTGTCAAGGAAAAAGCCATAAAAATAAATTGCAAAACGCAAAGGAACGAAATGGACAGACAAACAGAACAGGGAGATAAGAACAAGTGAATTTAGTTATATACATATGTACATATATGTATGTAGGTATATAAATATATATGTATGTTTCTTTCTTTTTGCCAATGCTATGAACTAGAAATTTCGCACGCAAATATGTATGTACATTGCAAATGCCAGCCCCAAAACCCAGACCCAGAACCCAACGCAGAAAGCAAAAGGAGAATGAAAGAAAAAAAAAAAACAATAACAAAATACACTAAAAACATGCCGTCAGCTGTGTTGATAAGCAAACCGGCTGATTTTTTGAAGATATCTGCGCACCCGAAAACGAACGAGAGCGTGGGAGAGCAGTAACAGCAGTGAGACCATAACATGATGAAAAGCGAGAGAGAGAGAGAGCGCGCGCTGTAGCCATGAGGGATAAGAATCAATTCAAATGAAGAAACATTTTGTCACCGGAAATTTATGACCGGGTGGGCCAGCCAAATCAGACACTGAAAGAAAGAGAGAGAGACAGATGGGAGAAAGAGAGGAGAACGCATGGAAAGCAATTGGCATGAGGCGTGGGAGTTCTTCTATTTCGGTTGACATTCGCTTTCGATATGTTCCGCATGTCTTCGATTTGGATACGATGACTCGCGCACACATATTTCGCAGTCTACTGCCGGCTGCAAAAGTCAAGTACAAGGCCAGGTTCACACTCGGCACACAGCAATGCAGTACAATGGGAAAGTATGATAATAATGCAAAACAAAATAAGGGAACGGAGAATGGGGAAGCAACGAAATAACAACAAGAATAGCAAAGACTCGACTATTTTTTTCGCCGACTCGTTTTAGTCATCTGCCTTCTCTGTCAATTGTCACTTTTGTGCACAAAATCAAAACCAAACACAACAATAACAACAAAGACAAGCAAAAGCCGAAACCAAAAAACGTAAAACAAGCGAGCAATAATTGAATAAATGCGAAAAGGCAGCACGACAAAATCAAGCAACAAAAGCACGGTCCAGTGTCTTTCCGAAATAAGTTGAACTTGTTTTTTCGACTCGAGCAAGAGGAAATAGGGGAGTGGCAGGGGTCAGGAGGCCGGGAGAGGGGGTTCAAGCAGCACTTACTTAACTATCTTCCCGAAATCGCTTAAAATGTAACTCGATCTGCTTTTGCAAGAGCCAGTTACTGTGAAAGCTGTGCGCTTAACCCATTGTTGCCACGCCTTTCGGGGAGTCGTTCTACACGCCCCTTAGCAACAAAAATATAAAAAATACATATATTTTGATAATAATAAGTATCATTAACAAGCTCTAAGCCCAGCTCTATTAACACTTAACTCAACCTCTGTGACGTAATTGATTTATGCTCAAAAGAAGAAACAAATCGTAAAAGATGATTGAGGCGATAAAATTATCTTGTTTGTTTAATTCTTATCTGGCCGTTGCACCTGGCGCACCCAATTCAATATTTATTTTTCTTTTTTTTTTTTCAAGCCGAAGTGCACGTGGTTTGGTCAACCTGAAAGTATGCAGCAGTATTTGTAAACCCTTACGGTTTACGGTTGTTTAAGTGTTTGTTAGGCTAACACGCCTCAAGTATTGCCCTGCTTTCGATCAAGCTCATATAAGCTCAAAGCTAGCTTGTAATTTGTTTTAAATTTTACAAAATTATTTGATGGAATGACTTAAATTATTAAATTTTTCTTTATATCAATAAAAACGTACCTGTGCCAATAATATCCAATTCCTTATAGTTTATCGGTACAATATCCTCCTCACATTGTGGCTCGGACATTTTTTGTCGTTTGCTTTGTGATACAGACGCCATTTGAGATTTATATTATCTTAGTCTTATTTGGGAATAGAATACAATTCTGCAATATATGTATATAAAGGAGAGAAAAAATGATTATTTTCAGAGGGAGCCACCCAAGGGTTAACATGAGTGCAAGGGTAAATATTGAGATCAGTTTGCAGCGGCTGTTAACTGTGCCCAGGGCCAGTGCAGGGTTAACAGGCTGTTAACATAACATAACTAAGCCTGCTGCGCGCGTAACAGGTGTGAATTTCGCTTGCGCGTTATGTTATAGATATGTATGTATGTATGTACATATGTACATATCTCTATGCCTATTTGTGCTTCTGGCTTGACACTATTCTCTTTTGTCTTTATAGTTTTTATTTTTATAACTTGTTGTTGCTGCAGGTTGTTGTTGTTGTCGCCGGTCAACGACCTGTGAGCCTACGCACAGATGATTGCTATTTAGTTCTGTTCTGTTTGAACATGTATTTATAATATATTCGCTTATTCGCCGCTTGCCAGTTACCAATGACAACTGTTATTGCCGTTCCTTTTTGGCTTGCTTTTGATTTTGTTTTTATTGCTTTTGCTGCATACGCAAGAGCACAAAGCAACATTTTTCGCTCTCTTTTTGTGTTTTTTCGCCATTTGTCAATTAATTCTAATCGCAACCGAAAGCAACAGTAACAACAAACACACGCACACGCACACACATACATACATAATAATAACAATAACAACGACGGCAACAGCGACAACGACAACAATAACAAGAGAGCAATCCAAACGAAGAGCAAAAAATTAAAATTAAAAAAAAATATATATTATAGCTAAAAATTTCGGTGCTTTTTCATCAGATGCGAACGAAGCGCTCATACCCTTTGCTATAAAACGTGCTGCAGAGCACCAGCAATCGAGTGTTGAGAGAGGAAGTTGTGAAACCATTACAGTAAACAACAGTTAAAATCATATTTAATCCAAAGTGAGCATACATGTCTACAAATTCATTAGTTGTGTGAGACCTGGTCCTGTGCGCATTCGCCAATTGCGAATTGTGGATGGCGAGTTGAAGCGAAACATGGAATATGCCCAACCGAGTTGGTGTTGCGATTACGTGTGTGCGAGTTATTAATATTAGTTAAATATTAAAGTGTGTTTTGTGTTTGTCAAGACCGAATAATAGCAGCAGCAAAAGCACAACTCACAGAACATGCTATAATTCTACATTTATACGTACTTATGCATGCATGTGCATGTATGTATGCTGAATGCTTGTATGTATGTACACTCACGCACACCGCAAACACAGACGCCGCCTCGATCAAAAAAAATTATTTTTCTACGAAGTAAAAATGCTACCACTTTGGACGTAGTAACGCGAAATAACAGAATAACCCCAGTTAATGGCGAACGATCACGATTAATCCACAAGTGAGAAATACCGGCACCTCCACCTGTATTAAACACTGTATATTTTTAAAATAAAAATAAAGATTTCGACACTAACAATTTTTGTAACAAAGTGAAAAAGCACGCAAACGAAAAAAAGAACTCAATTAATACTAGAGGGATTTACGATATTCGGTGGCATTAAAGAGATCTTCTCTGTTATAACACTCTTAGCAATTTTAACATAACAGTGGAGGGTGGGAAATTTTCATGCCTGTTTCGGTACTCTTGTACTAAGTATTGGTACTATATTTATTATTACAATTTTATGTGCTCAATGAATCTAATTGAAATCAAATACAAAAATATATTGCTGTGAATATTAAATAAATAGTGTGTATATGTTTGTTATCATTTATTACAATATAAATACAAATGATTAAATTTAAAACTTTATATGTGCATTTATTTTAACTGGTTGTATAATATTAGCTGAAATCCAAGATAATATGTTTTACACTCTATCAATTTCTATTGTTGTCTTTCAAATAAAATACAATAAATAATAATCATTATTGACTTTCAAGAAAATTTCCCATCTTTTAAAAATGTGCGGACAGCGAACGGCAAACCAATTGAAAGGTGTGCACAGCCAACTTCAAACCAGTTCGATAGTAGCTGTGAAACCGGCGTCAAACGTGTCCGCTGCTTCTACCATCCAACATCGAGCATGTACGAAACTGCGCGCAGCCAACTTCAAGCTGATGCATGCTGTTCTGCTCCAACCTCAACTCTACGCAGCGCTGCCACCTATTCGGCAGAAGACCGCGTAATTTAAACCATAAAACCGATGCCGTCAACGTCATGCTCATCTAGTCCTTAATTGAATTTAGGAAATGATTGACGATATATATGATTTATTAGCGAGCTGGCTAATGGAATGGCAACATGTTTTTAATTAGGCACAATAGTCTTAAATTTCCATCCACCAAGCCACTGTGACGTGTGATAATTGTGATAATTGAACGATCTGGAGTGACGTACGCTGCAAAAAAAAATAAACAGACCTCGACACGTCAAGTGAAACAGTCAATAAAACTGACATACCTAAGCCAAAGCACTACTGCCATCTATTTGGTGATTGGCTGAGCGGCGAAAGCAAACAACTGGATTGGCTCTCGCCTTGCCCTAGCTCAACTTTAGCCAACCCGACAAATGGGTTCAAGTGTATTCGTTCGTTCTTTGTAATAAATCACAAAATGGATCAACATGAATCACCTCGTCCAGCGGATACAGTGAAAAGAAAATGTCTAGCCCGTCGGGCGGTGCCAGTTACTGCCCAAACCGCAGTACCAATCACACTCACACTCACATTTACACTCACACTCACACTTACAATCACATTGATATCCGTTTAGCACCTTTTATACGGAAGCTACCGGGCTTTAAGCATCAGGGGTCCAGCCCATATTTTGATCAATTAGTTGGGTGGAAATAGAGATGATTCAATCGAAATGTCATCCCAAATGCAATTGCTCATCTAATTGTGCTAATTTCCTCGCGAGTTAACAAGAATTTTAATGAGTAAACAACACCCTGTGGGCGAGTGACAAGCAAACAGTGCACTATTTACAGGGTATTCTCCTGTTGTTGCTCATCGCTGGGTGCTAATCTTTGACATTTGTATGTGACGATTTCGCCAAACCGGCTCTCAGCTGAAATTAATTAAAAATCAATTAAACTAAACTAAATTTATTGAACAAAATAGAAATGCATAAAAAACTTCATTTGTTTACTGGCATTTGAGCACGGGCGTTGACAGCTTTGTTTTAGTCTTGAGATTGATTTGATGCGGAATCATAAATCACGTGTAGATAATCCACTTGGAGTGATTCCAATTCCAATTCCAATTCCAATTCCAATGCGAGCTCATTCCATTCATTGGCATTTGCTTTGGCTCGCTCTGCTGCATCGCTGGCCACTGTCAACTGTCCCAAATTGTCGTAGCTCTGCTGAGTTGCTTAACCTTCGTCACACCTGAGATCACATTTTCAAGAGCCATTCGTGTTGACACTTTTCCGACTGTGCGTCATCAAGCGGATCAGCTTGGCTCAGATCGTTTGCCTAATGAGCTGCGACAGGTTATTCAAATTCGGGCTTCCGATTTTCTATCCGATTAGCAGCGACAGCTCCGAGACTGCATGCCTGTCTGCCTGTCTGCCTGCCTGCTTCCGTATTGTTTTTGAGCGCCACGCCTACGCCACAACACGCCCTAATCCTTTGCGTCAAAGAGAGTCATAAATCTGTTCTGCTTTGATTTGATTTGCTTTGATTTGCTTTGCTTTGATTAGTGCCTGCGTCATGGAAAGCTTTAATTGAACGTAATGCGAAAGGCAAACATTTTGTTCCGAAACAAACAGCAATCGAATGTAAATAGATATTAATATATGACCCAAAACGAAGTTTATATACACTTGGGTAGGGGCACTTTTATGACAGGCAATGCTAGTCCAGAGATTCTCAGAAATCAATAGAAATAATAAATTGTGAAAGGCTCGAAAAGTTTCCATGCAGCAAAGACTGAGGATGTGTTGAATATAGTAAAGATAGGAGACACTCTAGGAATAATAACACTAAGGAATAATTAACTAATTATTCTCTTAAGGTTATACTATATTGAAATTTAATATTGAGTTGAAGAAATCGTTCTGCTACTGAGTATGGAGTTTTATTGAAGTAATTGAGAATTGATCTAAGGAGTTTATAAAGCTAAAGTAAATTGTCTGTCTATAATATCTATAGATATATTGAGATAAAAGTCTTAGCTGAACTATGAAAGGTTGGGCGTAATCTCTTTGTCTCCCTCTCTCTCCCAATTTGTCAATTTCTTTTTACTTCTGCTCTGTCTCTTTTTCCTAAACAGATAGATTCTAGATCAACTACATACGGCGTGATCATATTTATTTCATTTCAATTGCTTACATAATATATAAATAATATATAAATATTTCAGATGGCGCTACGACAATTGGAGTAGATATCTTATATACGAATATTATTGTTATTGTTAAATATTAGTAGGAGAAGTCTAAAAACATTCCACATTCAGGCTGTTCTTACTAATACCTAGCCGTAATACTGTCGTGTTATATTTAGACTTTTCTCACTAATGCCTAGCAATAATATTTGTGTGTAAATATGTCTAAGCTGAGGCCGCTGCTTGTCAAAGCTAATATCCCCATTTCCCAGAGCGTACACACAATAATAATGATAAATCTGTTTTTGTTTTTGCTGTTTCCTCTTCATATGCGCACAAGAGTTTAATAGCAGCACGATGATAACTAGGAAAGTGCGCGCAGCCTCCCCCCCTCCCCCGAGGCATCCAATGTGTCGTGACCGAAAACCGAAAACCGAGACAAACTGAAATCGAGTTTTTGGACAAGTTTCGCGGCGAGAGCCGTGAAGTGGGAGAGCCTTCGAGTGGTGCACTGGACATAGTCCACTTGCGAGTCCCTGTCTCCCGCTCGGCGAGCAGCGCCTTGGCTGCTTCGTGACATCGACAGCACTTCACACCAGCAGCCAAAGCGACAACAACAGCAGCAGCAGAAGCAACAACAACAACAGCTAACTGAAACCCGTTCGGCTGTATCTTAACGTGGCTAACATCGCTTCGCTGCGCTGCGCTGCGCTGAGCGAGGGCGGCAGGCGGAGGCTGTTGGCCATATATAAAAGTGAATTTGTGACAAATATTCTGAACAGTCAAGGCGCACGCTTAGCGGCGACAACATCCAGCGAATATAACCACAAATAATACATATACTAATCGAATATCGCGCTCTCGGCAAATGTGATAAGCCAGACAGACAGACAGACAGACAGACGCAGGCGCAGACAGATTAAATAAATGATCATCAGATAATTGTGAGAAAAAAATTGAAGCGAAAATCGCGTGTGCGCAATTGAAACAACATTTTCGAGTGTGTTAAGGATAAGCGACTCGAACTCAAAATCAAAATAACATATATATAAATATATATAATATATACAATTATAATAAACAGAACATGTGCTCGTTAAGCCAACAAGTGAGTATTGAGGCGAATTTACGATTATTCATTTGATTACATTCGAGATTTGAGATCTGAGTAACGGCAAACGTGTTTCATTAGCATTTCGAAATTTTCGAATTTTCGCAAATACAAAATTGCATTAAAAAGTAAATAAAAATTAATTGTAAAATATAAGTACATACAACATATATTTTTTAATTAAAAAAGCTTAACGCAACGAATTTATGCATTTTTTTGCTTTATTTATATTTTTAAAAAATATATATTTTTTTAAATACATTTTTCAAGTCTTTTGCGCAAGGCCAAAAAGTAATATTCACTTAAGTTATTCGCATTCTGAGTCAGTTATGTTTTTATTGCTTGTAAAAATCTGCAAATTAGTCGAGTTACTAATAGACCATTTTATGCGCTTCAGGAAGTCAAAGTCCAAGCATAACTCATGAAATTAGTTTAGGCAGTGATTCGATTTGCTAAGAGAATTTTGCTTGAAGCATAAAAATAAACTAGACTTGAGTTCATTCTAAATTTAGTCATAAAACAGATTTATTTTTATGTATTGCCATAAAATTAGAGTATCTCAGGACCCGAAGAAGAATGCGAGAACAACAAATTTCAGCCTTGAACTTTATTTTTTAGGGCATGCATTGGTGTTCACATTTTATTTTATAAAAGGGATATACGCTTGAAACATTCAGTAGGAGTTATTGACTTTATTATGGGATCGTAAAAACATTTGAATATTTCAATAATCTGTTTGCTGATGCTATAAATTGTATATTATATTTGGAATCATTAGTACTCTAAACGTTCAGGCTATAAAAATAATATATACAGGTTTTTTATTCAGTTAATAAATAATTACTTAGGCTTATTTTATAAAGAGAACTGGTAACAGGACAATTTATTTGAATATTAATTATGCATAAGCGAATTTGGTTCATTTTTCTCTCGAACTCTCGATCTATCTCCATTCCCTCTTCCTTTAGCCTGTTATCTATTTATATCCTTCCATCCCTTTCTCTTTAAGTCTCTCTATAGAGAGACATAGTTCTATCTCTTTCTCTATCTGTACATCTGCCTTCTCTCTCTCACCTGTCTAGACCTCGCCAAGCCCGCTTATTATATACATACATATGTATGCGTGCATATATTAGCATAATATTTACTTTTTTATCAGTTATGACTGGCGCTAGCTTTGGCGCTGACTAAGTGCTTCCTTATTATACCCATTCTTGGAGCAGCTCTTGGACACAGGGTATTCACACCATATACAGAGAGATCAAAAATAAACAAGTGCTATACATCTTATGGGTTAGCCCTGAGCCACTAAAGCGCAACCGGTTACAGAGACTAAGATACAGATACAGATACAGATGCAAAGATACAGATACGTACGTTATTTATTTTACTTCTTGGTATTTCGCTGAGAGTTATTTTGTTTTTATTGATTTAGTTTTATTTTGGCTCAACCGCTAACATATATCATACGAAGTCAATTAATTAAAGTGGTTCAGCCTGTAAAAATTTACATAATTAGCCGAAAGCAATAAACATTTGTCTATGTCCGCGGCTCGAACTTTGCTATTATCAATGCAGAAATTTATGCAGATCTCAGATAGTGAATCATAAAACCTTATATATGTATATGTATACATATATGTATATTTATCTGATGTTTTGCTTAAGCTGAATAACATGCGTAGAAAGGAGTTAATTGAATTTTAGCAGTGGAAGTTAGCAAGTAAGAGATAAATTATATAGATATATGTATGCACATATATACGATATATATGCTGGCTGGATTAGCCTCCAGCTGAGCTGTCATTGAACGTCTGCCAGCTCATTCACCTACGCCGAAATCTGGTTTGACTCTAAGATAGATATCATCCGGTTTTGATTTTTTTGTTTAGTCTTTAATTTGTCCTCTAAGAATAAGACTAATTTCATTAACACACCAAAAGTCGAATTGTGATACATAAATTAAAGCCTGTCTATATGTCTAAATGCACATATATACACACTGTATACTATCTATATGTATATAGATAGATAGTGTTTCCACTGTCTACCCAAAAAACATGCATCCGGCTCAGGCTTAGTCAAGGGCGCAGCATATTCAGTTGTGGCTTTAGGGGTTGGGCTGGGCTGGGTTGGGCTGGCATCTGTATTACCATATGTAATTAGCATCCAGCGGGATAAACATAGAGCCCATCGAGTCTTACACTCTCTCGTGATCATGAATATATTACGTGCAAGCATAAATTAACTCTGATTGCGATTATATCACCGATATTCGTTAGTTTAAATTAAATTAATTATTGTATGCTAATTCGAAGCATATGCTTGACAGGTTCTAGCCGTTTGCAGAACGTAACTCTCTATCGGCTATGGCTAGCTACAGCTGGCTACTGGCTGTTGGCCTCCACGCTATATTCACACCTTCTCCGGGTTTGTTTTTACTGATTTTTGACATGTTTTGGTTTTGTTTTGTTTCCGCAGTTTTACGCCCTGGCCGTGGCACTGGGCATGGTTTGCCTGTCGTCAACGATGCCCCAGAATCCGCAACAGCTGCAGGAAGGGCCACACGCGCTGCTGGACATCGAGACACCCAACCAGTTCAGCTACAACTCGCCGCTGGCCCAGCCAGACAGTCTGCGCAATAAGCCCTACTTTGACTTCCTGAGCACGCTCTACGCCCACGACGCGGCCAAGACGAATCTGTTCAGGAATCGGCCGCAGCGCTCGGTGGAGCTGCAGCCCGAGCCCGAGCTGAAGGCGGATGAGCAGCAGCTGGCAGCTGCCGATCAGCCCAAGAGTCGCCGTCGGGATCGCAAGCGTCGCGCCATCGTCTTCCGGCCGCTCTTCGTCTACCAGCAGCGCGAGATCAAGAAGAAGGAGATCGCAGCCCGGAGACGCAGCGATGAGGCGCAGCGCCGCAACTACTACAAGAACTACAAGCGCGTCTAGTCCTCAACCCTCTGGGAAATTCGCTCAAGCTAAATCTAATCTAATCTAATCAACAACCATGCGCAATCAACAGCAATGGCTATGGCTGTCACTGGTCTTCTACAGGGTCCTCTCTAGCACTTAGCTCTTAATTATTGTGTTTTAGCCTTAAGTCGAGTCGAATCAACGCACAACGCACTGCACTCAACACGAATCGACAATTGAATATATGTAATCCTTAATCTATATTCTACATTATAATTATATACATATATAATCGCCCACACATCCACACATTTGCACATTCCCCTCCCCAACCCAAGTATGTTAAGTAATCGTGTACCCTAAATTAATATCCATCTATGTTATATTTGTTAACTGATTTTTACACAATTTGTTGCAATTAAAGCTAACAAAAGTTAAATACCGATATTCGAGACTTTTTCTACTTGGTTTTTTGTTATAATATTTTATTTATTTATAGAGTTCAGACAGGAAATACGAGAATGTTCGATAAAAAAAAAAGAATTTTTTTAGCTGATGCAATTAATGTTTAGAATATATCTCAACTCTTCATAGGAATTTTGATTCAGCTTATTTGGAGTATACTCTGAAACCAATATCAATGCGAGCTCAAGTTTATCCTTTTTCGTATGCAAATCTGTGTAATAGACGGAAGAAGGCGTGGCACCATAAATTATATATGTATGTACATATATTCCTGAATGGGACGAAGCTGAATAGATCTAGCCACATACATATGTATGTACTATGTATATGTCTGTATAACTGTTTATCTAAATGTACACAGAGATTTCGTAAGCCACCGCAGCTATAGCCATAAAATTCAAAGTATACATATATGTACATATTTCATAAGAGGCACGAGTTTATTATTTCTTCTTCGATAATTCATTCGACTTTCGTATTTTGCATAATTTGATTAAATTTTTGTATGCATTGAATGCCTGAACAAAGAAAAAATCAAAATTAAAATTTACTGTGCGAGTTTCTCTGATAAATACACAAATTTGGAATGTTTCGGAATTTGTATACCTCCCCTCTTGTTTTTTATATTTTATAATACTTTATGTATAATGCATAGAAAATTTGTATTGTTATTGAAGTCGATTTTCTTTCTTGGCAAAAAAATAAATAAATAAATTTAATGCTGGCAAAAAAAAGAGAAGAGGTAAGAGAAATGCTAGAGCCAGAAATAGAGAGAGACTAGTCCTTGAGAGAACTATCGAACTGATGAAATTGCTTTCTATGCCATCAATATAAATGTATGTACATAAGCATATCAACATAAAGCCACAGAAATATATACACACATACATACATACATATATATTCTTGATCAGAGTACTGAGGTGTTGCCTCAGATTGTTTGCTTATTTATCTGTTCGTATGTCTGTCTGCATATCGTCTCTCTTTCTGTCTGCCTAAAAAGAGTGAGAGACGAAGAAAAGCTACCGAAGGTCACTCAAGTCGTCCCTATGTATGCAGCAGCATTCCTTCGGCATTTATAGCTGAGTAAAACGAAGCTAGAGTGCTTGCAGCAGTAGAGAGTGCTCCCATTGGTCGGCTGCAACGATCCCTGCCTCTCGCCGAGCTCAACATTTGAGAGCGCCTTCGGGCGTCTGAGTGAAAGTCGACCTATATAACGGGCAGCAGCTGCAGCATTTCTTCAGTTGCCCAGGCCTGGTGGGGGTCAAACGTGCAGTGTTGTAAAGTGTGTGAGCGTTCAGCTGAGCATTTGAGAGCGACTGAGGCTTTGAGTGAAGGTCGCCCTATATAAAGGGCAGCAGCTGCAGCATTTCTTCAGTGGTCCAGGCCTGGTGCGGGGAAGTGTGTGAGCGTTCTTTTCTGGGAGAAAATACTTAGAGGAAATTCTTGGAGAAAATACTTATAAGAAATACTTTAAGTTGATCAATGTTGATCATGCATATTTACGTTTCTTTTCAATACATATTTATATGATATATGTATATATAAATACTTTAGCATAATGCAGCTCATAATCTTTCTATAGTGTAAACATATTATAAAAATATAATTAATAAAATTAACTTAATATAACATTCATACGGAGTTCATTTACTGAATGCCTCCGACAAGAAGCAGGTTTTCCTCTAGATATAATCCTAGTTAGTAATTCCGAATTGAACTGTAATCACTCGCCCCAGACAATATTCTCAATCCAATCCGTATAGAGATGAACCTTGGTGTAGACGCTGGGAAATTTGTAGTTGCCGCAGATGGCGCCGTACGAGGTGATGCCAATCACCTGCTTAAGGCAATTGTAGACCGGATGCTGCACGAAGATGGGGCCGCCAGAGTCGCCGTTGCAGGTGTCTGCCTGGCTGTTCGCTGAGCCGGAGCCGGCGCAGAACTGAGTGCGGGACACGATGCGGCTCTCGAGGCGCTCGCTGCACACCTGGTCGCCGTAGCGCTTGAGGCCCACTTGCAGCAGCTTTGAGGATTTGTCGCCCGCATTCTTGGTGTAGCCCCAGCCGGCGGCAGTCAGATCGAGGTGCTCGTCGCCGCTGCCGGAGGGCAGACAGGCGGGCGCCACATACTCATTGAGTGTGGCATTTCGGTCCAGCTCGAGCAGTGCGATGTCATTTAGGCGGCTGCCATCATCCTCATTCTCATCATAGGCCGGATGCACCACATAGTTGACTAGCCGAAAATCCTGGGGCTGGGCATCGTCTGTGGTGCTGTTGTAGTCCAATTCACCCAGGCGTACCACAAATTTGGCTGATTTGTAATTGGGATCTAGGCGTTGCTCCTTCGTCTCGGTTGTCTCCAGGCAATGGGCGGCGGTTAGCACAAACTTCGGGTGGATTAAGGTGCCGCCGCAGTCCCAGCTAATGGTGGAGCTGCCTGGCTCTTGTATGCCCAGCAGGGCCATGAAGGGATACTCGCGACCTTTGACCTCGGTGCCACCCAAAATGAGTGGCGTGGAGCGGCAGGTGGGTCGCACATCATTATAGCGACGGCACTCTGCGAATGTCCACAAACAATTTTCAATTAACATAAATATTATTTACAGCCATTCGCTTCTCTCACCCTTCTCGTACAACTTTCGCGGATCGGCTGGCGTCATCACTCGCTTCTGTGCATTCAGTGGCAGCGGGCAGCAAACAATGTCGTTAAACTCATCGCAGTATTTAATCTTGTTGGCTCCGATAATAAATTCATTATAGAAGAGGACGGGGCAGTCTGTGGCTGTCAGCTCCTTGCACTCGCCGGTGCCGTTGTCACAGTACTCGGCCGTGGGCGCCGCACGGGCCGACAAGGCTGAGAGTAGAAAAATTGCCAAAAATGCAGAGCTCGTGTTCATTGCCTTCAGCATCTGTTGAGAAACTGAGCTCAATTTAGACGCGTGTTTCCCGCCAAACCAGATTATTATATAGACAACAAAACTAAGAGGGCAAATACAAAACAAGAGAAGTAAATAATCAAAATAAACAGCAAAGTTCGCTCGTCTACATGGCTCCCATTCACTTGCCATTTTTCTTATCGCATAGCAATCTGTATATACGCTTGATGGGTCAAGGTGGGATTCAATTTCGCTTGCCTTGCACAACTTAAGTATTAATCAATTATTTGATAATTTTTTGTACCGCCAATTATATGAATCTCTAAAAGACGTAAACATGTTCTTAAAAAAAATAACAAAAAATTAAAAAAGCTTTTTAATTACTTTTTACAAAAAAGAATTTAAAAAGAAAAAATTTAAATCAACCGGCACCATTTTTTCCAATAATCACTTATTAGATTTGTCGATATGGAATTTCATTTTGGCGGTAAAAATTATTCAATGAAGTCAAGTTATCGGAAATTTTTAGGGTTAATTTTACTAGCCCGCGTATGTTATCGTTAGGCACGTATGCAGCTCTCAAATTTTGTGCGGAAATTTTATCGGAAATGCTGCATATTGCGATGTTTTCGGTACATCACTAGTTCTTCTATGTACCTCGACGCTGAATGGTGTGTTTGCGCACACTTTTCTGCAAAAAAAATATTTTAAGTGCAGAAATAGGCGAAAATATTGAAGAATCATTGCTTTCGCGATTAGAGCACAATTTTTGCAACGCGCCAGCACTGTTTTTACGCACGGATGCATATTTGTGATGTGGATATTTTGTGATTAAAAATTTTCCCCATCTGAGGTAGGAAAAAAAAAAATGGTTGAAAAAATTTCTGCTCGACAAAGAACCGACGCCGACGTAGAAGCAGCAGACATACAAGTATAGCTGTCTCATTCTTGCATCAGTCATTCGAATAGCATGCTTGAAAGTGCCGCAACTAACAACTGCTAGCCAACCTAAAATTAACGTGAAGTTTAATAAAAAAAATTTTTATTAACAATGACCAAGTGCAAAAAAAATATTTCTATACAACGCGCGTGTGTGTATAATGAAAAAAGGGAGAGCAGCCATTTGCAATGCACAGTTGCAAATCGATTGCATTGTGCAGGGATGCAAGCTGCCTATATGATAAGCGATATGAAATATTATCACTGAAAAAGTCTTAAATGTAATGCTTACGCAGCAGAAAAAGACATGGTATAAATCTATATAGCATTATTGGGCACGATTAATGCTGACATACGTATGTTCATACATATCTGCTATCCAGGGCTGCCAAATGTGCGCTGTCAAACGCAACACGCGATAATTTGGAGTGGTGGTTATAATGTTTCTTTCCCGCCTTTTTCAGATGTCTCAAACATGAATGAAGGTAATTCAGCAGGAGGGGGGCATGAAGGGCTAAGCCCGGCCCCTCCTGCTGTGTCAGACCGTGTAACGTTACAATCAACGGAAAAATCAGTTACAACGCCAAAATCAACAGCAACTGCACACAACAACAATAAATCATCATCAGCAACATCAACAGTAGCAACAACGCAGCAGAAACCCAGCAAACAACAACAACAGCAGCAGCTGCTCAGTGCGCAGCTGCCTGTGCCGCTGTCGAACTTGTCGACAGAGGCAACGGCAGCCGCAACGCCAGCAGCAGCTTCCACATACTCCTCCAATTCAGCAAAAGCAGATACCTCCGTTTCAGAGTCAATAGCGCCGCCCCAGGCGAAGCGTCAGCGTTTAGAAGACACGGAAGTGGGAGGCGAGGTCGCCAGTGACAATAACAACAGCAACATTGTTGGAGCCGTTAGCAGCAACATCGTTGGCTCCTTACTGCCAGCGTCGGTTGTGGCCAACAGCGAAGTTGGTGGGGCAATTTCAACGGCACTACAGGACTTGAATGCGCTCAAGAAGCGCATTCTTCAACTGAAATATCAAATTTTGCGTAATCTTAAGGAAAGGTATATACGACTCAGTCAAATTTGTGAACATTTTTAAAATTGTGGTTTCGATTCGCAGGCATCTTGAAAATGTGTCGGAATACTTTTATTTACAAAACGGTGGCAGTATGATGGACTACCCCGCGTGGCGTAAAAAGACACCAACACCGCAATTCATCAGCTACAGCAATGCGAATCGTATCGAGCAGCTGATACTCGAGGAAAAGCCAAGCACATCCGCCGCCGCAGCAGCAGCAGCTGTGGCCCAAGGACACCGAACAACGCAACAATCAACACAACAACAACCGCAGCAGTCTTCGGATTCAGTCGTTAGTAATAGCAACAGCAGTAGCAGCAGCCCTGCAACAGCAACAACAACCAGTACAGGGACAACCGGCAAACAGTTAGAGACAGATAACAGCACACAAACAAAAACGGTAATTAAACAAGTTGAAACAATTCTTGCGATTAACTACTTCTAGTAGATTTCTGCGCTCACGTATCTAACCTTTTAAATTTCAATGTCCTTAGAATACGCAATCTCTGTTGCCAACGAAATCTGGCAGCAATACAACTGTAGCAACAGCGACAGCGTCGTCAAGTCCAAGCCACAGTGGGCCAACATCGACCACTACCACCACAGTAGCCGCAACTGGAGCGTTGCCGATAACCAGCAGCTTAGTGGAGACGAGCGGTAATGCATTGCCACCGGAGGCAGAAATAAAGATACCAGCAGTTGGTGCGACGCCAGTCGCCGTCTCCACGAAGCTACCTGCCGCCGTAGTACAGTTGACGCAGCAAGGTAAGACAAACTCGTTCAGGATAAGATTTGATTTCATCTGGATTTAAACTCTCTCGATATTTCGTATTTATCATTGTTATTATTTTGTGTTTTGTTGTTTATCTGTTTTTCCGTTAATTACTTTTCAAAATTAATGTATAACTCCAAAAATAGAAACATACCAAAATTCAACAATGTCGAAAAAAAAACACATTTGCATACATATATAAGAAGAAAGTAAAAACAAAAATGTTACCAACTCCTCAGCATAAAACTAAAATAAATAACCGCGCCCTGAACAACTTTCCAGCAACTATAACAGTACAAAGCACGTCCTGCACAAAACATTTAAAATTGTCCCGCCCAAGCAGGGGAAGAGAAAATAAAACTAGCAATGAAACCTATAAAATGCGCTACTAATATTCACGATCTTAATGTATATGACACACACACACACATACTTATATACACGCAAACACAATATACTAAAAAGTTAACAATATTTTGTATGCATATATATTATAACAACTACATACACATTGTCTCAATATCAATTATCCTATTGTATTGCTGTACATCATTTAATTTATAATATCTTTCAGCTTTGTGTTGTTTATGATTTTATGATTTTGTTATTTCTGTCACAATTGATACTCCTCCGCCTCCTAACGCACACATCAACTCTCTTTCTCAACTCACCATCAAATTGTATCGTTATTATATAGGTCACATACCCGGTAGACCTCTAGGAGGTCGTCACGGTATGGTCTTCGGTCAAATACCCGCGCCTCCTGCCGTAGGAAATTCTTCTGTACCTTTGGTGCCAGGTGCTTATCGTTCGCAAAAAAACTAAAAAAAAAAAATGCCAAATCACATTTTCATTTTTAAGTCTTATTTTGAATATTGAAGTATTTTCATAATCTTTCATTTCGTTGTTGCCGCCAATTAAAAGCGTAGTGCATTTGACTTAAGTATATATTGCATTCGATGTGCCTATCTATTGTTTTGTACCAAAGATTTATCATTATCACATTAGAATTGGTGTTTAAAGTCTCTTCTTTTTAATTTTGATTGGAAAAACAGCTTAAAGTATACCATCATTTATATATTATATTTTTGCATTCTAATTAATGGAATGTAAAAATACATTTTTATTTGGTTTGCTAAATTATCATAGTCTAGATTTGATCCTTGCCCATATAGTGTTGACTCAATATAAGTTTTACCAATCATTTATCAGATTCCATACGTTAAATGTTTCATCATCCCTTGTTTTCACCAATTGCTTCATTTTAGACTTGTTCAAAGTTTTTTTAACTGCACCTAAAAGCGTTTTCTTGTACGCCAATTAAATGCGCTTGAAAATCGTACATGTGTGCTAGATCAAAGCTAAGTTGCAAGGTGACTCTTTGAAGTATTTAGAAGAGTCCCTAACGCTGAGTACAATTCAAGATTAATATTAAGATATGGTAGATATATGATATTATAGTGGCACCTAAAAGCGTTTTCTTGATCGCTTTTTAAACGCGCCTGAAAATCGTAGCTGTGTGCCAGAGCAATCGCTGCGGCTGAAAGGGAATTGATGTCAATTAGTGCAACAATTCTAATTAAGCCACGCACAAGTTAATTAAATAAGAGATCAGAAGTATGATAACACTCCATGCCTCCTTAAGTATATACATTTCAATTTTTACGCCTTCATTAGAATAGGATCGTTTCATGCAGGCGCACTCTGTGTCACGTTGAACTATTTCCACATGTGATGACAATTTGTTAACCTTGCTAAAGTAAATAAAAGCCTCGATTTATCCATGTGATCGTGTCCTCAAGACTGATCCCATTGAATTCGAGTCTTACACCCATTCGAAATTTAACATAAGTGTTAGGGATTATCATTCCTCTACTTAAGATTTAGAATATTGCATGTAGTTGACTTAGTTTCTTTGCCGTATTTCGTTTTCCATTGCTTTCCTTAGCATATTTTAATAAATACATACTATAATAAATACACTTACTAATTCGCAACAAATATGGTTCAATTAATTGATTGATTGATTGATTCGAACGTTCTCTTCTTTTATTAATTAAGTTTTTTCGCTTTAATATGGTAGCGTGTGTTGATGATGCAATTTTCCAGCATGCAAGTTGGCTAAGAGCTGTCTGCAATATCTTGAACGAATTGCTAACTTTTCTAATTGTTTTTCTCCTAAAGGTGGCACGCCGTTGGTGCCCTGCAGTAGCTCCTCTGGCTCGGCGGCGTTGCGTCGTCCAAACTCACAACAGAATGCAGCAGGAACACAAAGTGCGTCAACTGGAGGAGCGACATCATCGCCGCTGTACACGGGTGGGGCCAATGGCACGAGTGCGACCGTTGGGAGTGGCAGTGGTGGCGTCCTGACACCCTGCACACCTGGTGGCAGCAGCGGAAGCCTGATGAGTCCACTCGCAAGCACAGGCACGCCCAACAGTGCGCAGGAGTTTTCGTTTAAGGCCAAGCAGGAGGTGTACGTGATGCAACGTATATCCGAACTACAACGAGAGGGATTATGGACTGAGCGGCGTTTGCCCAAGCTGCAGGAGCCCAGCCGACCCAAGGCGCACTGGGACTATCTGTTGGAGGAGATGGTCTGGCTGGCAGCTGATTTCGCGCAGGAGCGCAAGTGGAAAAAGAATGCAGCTAAGAAATGCGCAAAAATGGTGCAAAAGTATTTCCAAGACAAGGCCAATGCGGCGCAGCGTGCTGAAAAGGCTCAAGAACTGCACGTGAAACGCGTCGCCTCCTTTATAGCGCGCGAGGTGAAAAGCTTCTGGTCGAATGTTGAGAAACTGGTTGAATATAAGCATCAAACAAAAATCGAGGAGAAACGCAAGCAGGCGCTGGATCAGCATCTCAGTTTCATTGTCGATCAAACAGAGAAGTTCTCACAACAGCTGGCCGAAGGCATGAACAAAAATGTGGCCGAAACACCTAGTCTAACCTCCAGTCGCCTAACATCCCCCAAACGCGAATCAGATGGTAAGTCTTTTATTCAGAAACTACACAATAATCTCTTTTTGCACATGATGAGACACTCAAACTGAAACGTTGTTGTGGTCTATTCTTGAACACTCCGATGTTATTAAGGGATGGTCGCATTCGCGAGGCATTTGTCTGATGCATTTAGAAATATATTTACCATTATTATTTGTAAAAGTCACATGGAATTAAACGTCAAATTTCTTTTACAGATGAATTTAGGCCTGAGTCTGGCTCTGAGGATGATGAGGAGACAATAGCCAAGGCTGAGGAAGAGGCAGCCGATGTCAATGAGGAGGTCAAAGCCCTGGCTAAAGAATCTCAAATGGACTTTGATGATTTCCTCAATGATTTGCCACCTGGCTATTTGGAGAATCGTGATAAACTGCTCTTAGAGGAACAGAACTCAACAAAAGGCGCTTCCACTAGTGCAGCAGCGGCTGAGGCTGACGACAGCGATGATAGCGAATTCCAAGCCAAGGAAGCGAGCGATGATGATGAGAACACCATCAGTAAGCAGGAGGAGGCAGAGCAGGAAGTTGATCATCAGAAAGAGATCGACGAACTGGAGGCTGACAATGATTTGACCGTAGAGCAACTGCTCGAGAAGTACAAGTCAGGTAAAATCAATGAGCCACCCAGCGCCAAGAGGCGGAAAATTGCCGTGGAGACCTCAGAGCAAGATTCGGATGATGACTCGACTGCGATTGAAGATTCAACGGACAGCAGCGAAGTGGAAGCGAGTGAGGACGAAAACGAGGATATGTCAACCGTTAAGAGCGATTCGGAGCAGGAGGAGGGTGAGCAGGAGGATGGTCTCAAGAGTCTGCTAGCTGATGCCGATGGCTCTGGTGTGGATAGAGCGGAGAGTGGTGCGCCTGGTGTTGCCAGTAAGGAAAACAAAGATGATATGTTGAACGATGCTGCCGCACTGGCTGAAAGTCTGCAGCCGAAGGGTAACACGTTGTCCTCGACGAATGTCGTAACGCCTGTTCCATTCCTACTAAAGCATTCGCTGCGTGAGTACCAACACATTGGACTCGATTGGCTGGTCACCATGAACGAGCGCAAGCTCAATGGCATTCTTGCCGATGAGATGGGTTTGGGCAAGACGATACAAACGATAGCGTTGTTGGCGCATTTGGCCTGTGCCAAGGGCAACTGGGGACCCCATTTGATCGTGGTGCCCTCCTCTGTGATGCTTAACTGGGAAATGGAGTTCAAGAAATGGTGCCCAGGCTTCAAAATACTCACCTACTACGGCACGCAAAAGGAAAGAAAGCTCAAACGTGTCGGCTGGACGAAACCAAATGCGTTCCACGTGTGCATCACCTCCTACAAGCTGGTCGTACAGGATCAACAGAGTTTTCGTCGCAAAAAGTGGAAATATCTCATTCTCGACGAGGCACAAAACATTAAGAACTTTAAATCACAGCGTTGGCAACTGCTGCTTAACTTCTCCACGGAAAGGTCAGTAATTGTTGTTACACAAATTATTACTAATTGTTATTGCCAATAATTGCAATGCAAATGCTCGCGTGCGCCAGCACCAAAATCAGTAACCAAGCGACTGCTAAACTAGCTTGGCGACTACGCTTGGGTGCTAAAATTAAATACGCTATGATGCCGCATTTATTAAAAGAGCATACTAACCCATTAGAATGCTTGTGGCCTTGTTTTGTAACAATTTTCGATTCGTGTTTAATTAAGTTTCTAACTTGCATATTGTGTTTATAAATAATGAATGAATTTGGTTGTTTACATTGTTCTCTTGACTTAAGATAATTCCTTGAAATGGTTGATTACTTATACATTAATCTATATTTATTATCTATAACAGACGCTTGCTCTTAACGGGCACGCCACTGCAGAACGATCTTATGGAGCTCTGGTCCCTGATGCACTTCCTCATGCCCTATGTGTTCTCCTCGCATCGCGAGTTCAAGGAATGGTTCTCCAATCCCATGACTGGCATGATCGAAGGCAACATGGAGTACAATGAAACATTAATTGCCCGGCTACACAAGGTAAATAAAGTTGATAGTGTTGGTTCGTCTTAAGAGTTCCTAAAGGGTAGCACCTAAAAGCGTTTTCTTGTACGCCAATTAAATGCGCTTGAAAATCGTACATGTGTGCTAGATCAAAGCTAAGTTGCAAGGTGACTCTTTGAAGTATTTAGAAGAGTCCCTAACGCTGAGTACAATTCAAGATTAATATTAAGATATGGTAGATATATGATATTATAGTGGCACCTAAAAGCGTTTTCTTGATCGCTTCTTAAATGCGCCTGAAAATCGTAGCTGTGTGCCAGAGCAATCGTTGCGGTTGAAAGAGAATTGATGTCAATTAGTGCAACAATTCCATTCACGCCACTCACATGTTAATTAAAGATCACATAATCCTTATATGCAGGCGCACTCTGAGTCACATTGAATTATCTCATGTGATGACTATTTGTTAACCTTGCTATAGAAAATGAGAGCTGCGATTTATCCATGTGATCCTGTACTTTGAATGGATTGCATTGAAAACGCGGCTTACACTCGCTTAAATATGAAAATCTTTCCCATTTATAAATGATGATGCTGTCAAATCCTTTTATGCAGGCGCACTCTGTGTCACATTGAATTGCCTCATGTGATGACAATTTGTTACCCTTGCTAGAGTAAATAGATGAAGCTGCGACTTATCCATGTGATTGAGTTTTTCAAGCTGATTGCATTGAATGCGCGCTTTACATTACTTTTATTCATATATTTATATATCAGTATTCTCGAATTTGAGCATGTATTAATTACCTATTCTTATTTCCTTTTAGGTTATTCGTCCATTTCTGCTGCGTCGGCTTAAAAAAGAGGTGGAGAAGCAAATGCCAAAGAAATACGAACACGTTGTCATGTGCCGTTTGTCGAATCGTCAACGTTATCTGTACGAAGATTTCATGAGCCGATCCAAGTGAGTTTATAAAATGATCCAAAACCAATTATAGTTTTATATTAATGATTTGAATTTGCAGAACTCGGGAAACACTACAAACTGGCAATTTGCTGAGCGTGATCAATGTACTTATGCAGCTACGCAAGGTGTGCAATCATCCAAACATGTTTGAGGTGCGGCCAACGATATCGCCGTTTCAAATGGAGGGCATCGCGTTCCATACACCACGTCTAGTCAGCGACATCTTGGAGTATGATCCGTTCACGGTGAGTTAGTGTATGGCAGATCTGTAGAAGCATATTTCTTTCGCTGTTAAAATGATGATAAACTGTCACTGAACATTGCGACTCGATCTATTTTGGAGAGAGATGCGATTCACTAGGATGTTCGCTGTTGCGAGGCATTTGCCTGATTTTAAATTAGCTCAGATATGATATTGATAACACAAATTTGACATCAACTAATAATGTTCTCTTCATTTTCACTTGTAGCAAATCAATTTGGAAACTGTTAACATGCTGTTACTGCATCTGGAACAAACGCTGACTGCCTACGTCTCACACAAGTCGCGACTGTTGTCGCCGCCACGTAAGTTGATTGAGGAAATCGACAGTGCACCGCTACCTCCGCCACGTTGCCCCAACGGCAAGTACCGCTTTCACATACGTGTGCGTAGTGCGGAGCTGGCACAGCGCATAAAATTGCAAGCGGTGCGTGTGGGCGCTAGTCCGGCCATGAGACTGGAGGGCTCAAAGATTGTTCCCATGCGCACCCTGCTGCCCAGTGGACATGTGCTGAAACGCGTCACCGGCACTATTAATCCCATCAATATGGCCCTAAAGCCTATGATAATTAATAGTCTAACATCAACGACGACCAGCAACAGCAGCGGAAGCAGCAGCACACCTCTGAATGTGTTAGGAAACGGTTCCAAACTGTTAAGTTCGCGCTCGCCCATAAGTGCTCCAACGCCTGCCAAGGTCGCCAAAACAATGCAGGATGGTAAACCGTTTTTCTACTTGGCACCTGCGACAAGTACCGGTGGGGCTGGAGCACGGCTTACGTTGACAAGCAAAACCACATCAGCAAGTACAACAGTCAGTGCAACAGCGGTGAGCGCAACGGCAACGAGCAGCAGCTCCGCAGCGCAAATGCAGCAGTTGATCAAAGACCCCATTGTCAAAGATCTGGCTACGCATGTGAAGCTGACGGTACAAAGGCAAACGAATGGAAAAACTCAGGACGAGGACTCGAAATCAACGTCTGAGGAGACTGAAGATCCTTATCGCGTGCAGCAGCTAATACAGATGCGCAAGGAACAGCGCTTGGCCTCACTTAAGCGCATGGCTCACATCAATCGCCGACGAACCGATGCCACGCCCATTTATGGAGCTGATTGCCGTGAGGCCATCGAGGGCTGCATGCAGGCAACACGTACAGCAAGGCATTCCACATGGCAAACGCGAGGATTTGCGAATTGTACCGTTGCCATGCGACACCGCGACGACAACTGGTCACTAAATCGCCTGCTGAAGAGCTACGAGCAGCGCTGCGCCGAACTGGCGCCAATCTTCGCTAACTTCGTAATTTATGTGCCGTCGGTGTGTGCGCCACGAATACGTCGCTATGTGCAGAATTTGTCATCGTCGCACTGGCAGACCGAACGGCAGATCGAGGCGACAGTAACTCAATCGTTATCGCCCAAGCTGGCACTGTTGCATCCCATAATCTCGGCGATGACGACACAGTTTCCCGATCCGCGTCTCATACAATACGATTGTGGCAAGCTGCAAACGCTGGATCGTCTGTTGCGGCAGTTGAAGGTTGATGGGCATCGCGTGCTGATCTTCACGCAAATGACCAAAATGCTGGACGTGCTGGAGGCATTCCTTAACTACCATGGACATATTTACCTGCGGCTGGATGGCTCAACACGGGTGGAGCAGCGCCAAATACTCATGGAGCGTTTCAATGGAGACAAGCGGATCTTTTGTTTCATTTTGTCTACACGTTCTGGAGGTGTTGGTGTCAATTTAACCGGCGCCGATACTGTAATCTTCTATGACTCCGACTGGAATCCGACGATGGATGCCCAGGCACAGGATCGCTGCCATCGCATTGGGCAAACTCGAGATGTACACATATACCGGCTAGTGTCTGAGAAAACCATCGAAGTCAACATCCTGAAGAAGGCCAACCAGAAGCGCATGCTCAGCGACATGGCCATAGAGGGCGGCAACTTTACGACCACCTTCTTCAAGAGCACCACAATTAAAGATTTGTTTGCAATCGACCAGACGCAGGAGTCGGATGATGGTCAGGATAAGCCCGACGAGAAGGACAAAATAATTGCCGCTGAAGTAGAGCCTGTAGTCGAAGCCGAGAAACAATCGCTGCGCGCCTTTGAGCATGCTCTTGCCGCTGCCGAGGATGAGCAGGACGTGCAGGCCACAAAGACGGCCAAGGCTGAAGCAGCTGCCGATCTGGCCGAGTTCGATGAGAATATACCCATTGCGGATGAGGCCAATGCGGATGGTGGAAGTGCACCGGTTGAACTGAGTAAAGCCGATCTGGAAATGCAAAATCTTGTCAAGCAGGTAGGTGGTCAACCTATTTAATTATGAGAGAATGGGCAGCGTTGGCTTTTATTGAAGAAGCTTGTTAGTGGCCCTTTGAGCTTGCTAACGCTGCCCAGAGAAACTTCAATATGAAGCTGACGTTCAGACATAGTCGAAGCGATTCAATTTCACGCCCGGTTATATCACTCAACGTCGGACATAATCACAGGATACTGTTACGGAATATACCCTTAATGCTATATTTATTTACTCCCACATTTAGCTCTCGCCGATTGAGCGCTATGCCATGCGTTTCGTGGAGGCTACCGGCGCCGCCTGGACAGCTGAGCAGCTGCGCGCCGCCGAGGCGGAGCTTGAGATGCAGAAACGTGAATGGGAAGCAAATCGCTTGGCAGCTATGCAAAAAGAGGAGCAGCTGCTCAAGCAGGAGACGGAGTCCGAGGAGCTGCTGACATACAGTCGCAAGGATGCCAGTAACCAGGTTAATACCAAACAAGATTCCAATCTAAGTAAACGAACATCGATTGTAGCGGTAGGAGGTATTAGGCTAACCAAGCAGAATAAGCTCGACAAACGGTTTAAGCAACACGGTTTATCCAGTGGTAGTCCGGGTTTAAGTAGAAGTGTAAGCAACCCCAAGTCAAGATCAAATGCACAGCAGGCTAGTCCAGTACGAACCCGCCGAAATAGCCTCAATGTGAGTGCTCCGGCCAGGAGTAGCTGTAACACTAACAGTAGCAGTAAAAAGTCAGTGACTAGAACATTACCAGCGCCATCTAGGCGACAGACGCGTCTGCATTCGCTGGGCGAAGATAATGTTACTGTCACGGCCACAGCGACACCGCCCACTAGAAAGACAACGCGCACAGCAATGGCAGCAGCAGGCGGTACCTCTACGCCCATGTCGGAGGAGAGACCCAAGCGTCAGTCGGCCAATATAGCCATGACCAAGCTTATGAAGAAACCGGTAAGGCATGCGGCAGCCACTGCAGTTACGCCTGCCAAGGTGGCCAAGCCTAAACGCAGAGAAAGCGTCTCACTAACAACGAGCGCGGCCAACCGGCGAAAGCTGCTCGAGCGGCGTGCAACGATATCATCGCCTTTGGCCTTGAAAGGCAACGACAGTGAGGACGAGAACGAGGACGAGGACGATACCAATGAGAAAGATGATGATGATGAGGAGGGCGATGGTGATAGCGAAGAGGAAGACGCATCCGTTCAGGGGGATGACGATGAAGATAAAGACGAAGATGAACAGGAAGATGAGGAGGAAACAGCTGTCTCTGGCTCAGCGTCTGCCTCTGCACAGGAGGATAATACACAAACTGAGGATGAAGAATTACATGTGGAAAGGTTAGACGAAGAGGAAGATGAGGTGGATGAGGAGGAGGATGAGAAGGATGAGGAGGAGGATGACGAGCTTAATGTAGAAACACAGTCCAGCTCAAGCTATGCTACAGCCGGCGAAGGTAACGACAGTTTAGATGGCTGGAATGCACACACTCAGGTCCAAGATACCACAATGACGAGCTCCACATATTACAATGTCTCCGAGGAGTCGGACACTGATGAGCCCAACGATCCGTTGTCAGTGTCCAAGGCAGAGAACAAAACGGAAACCAAGGAATCCACGCCAGCCTTGCAGAGGCAACGTAGCAATAGTAGCCGTAGAGGCAGCGATGAGCCCATTGGACACACACCACGTACACGTTCTCGAGGCTCGGTAAAGATAAATCTCTGGACTTTGGATGTGAGTCCTGTGCCAAATATTCAGAAGGGCACCGGAAGCGGAGCTGCCAAAAACGTAGTGAAGCGAACCACACCAATAATAGAGACAAAGCTGAAGGGTCGCCAACGACAACCAGGCGCGAATAGGCGACTCATGAAGAAACTCAATGAGGGCCAAACGACAACACTAAGTCGTTGGATAACACAGACACCGCGAGTACGATTACGGTCGAGCAATGCAGGAATTGCCATGCCCAGCAATAACAGCGGCAATGCAAGTGCTGGCAGCGCATCAACGGGAG